GGGTGAAGAATATAATTGAGGATCTCAAAAAAATTGCTAGGTCCTTTGAGTACATCTCTTGGTCTCATGTGTTCTGTGAAGCAATGTTTGTGGTAGACACTATCACGAATGCAGGTTTTTAGCATGCAAACCTTCATATCTGGGATAGATCTTTACCGTTTGCTGCTTGTGGAGCTCGGCTTTTTTATTGTATTGAAACCGGGAGAACTTCTCTTTAATCTATTGTTCTTGTTCATCAAAGATAAAAAAAATTAAAAAAAAAAAAAAAGAAGTTTGAAACTTGTTTCTATTTTTTTTTTTTTTAATTCTCAATTAACATGTTTATAGTTTGACTGGTTAGTGTTTTGTTCAACGATAAAAGATGAGAAGAGTTTTGAAAGTTGGAGAAATACCTTAAAAATGATTTTAGGGTATTTAGAAATTTCTTAATTTTTTCTAAGACCTAATATAGAAATTGTCATTACATAATAGAATAAATATGTCATTTAATATTTAATTTTAATTGTAGATTCATTCAACCTTATGTTATGTGAGGTGCTAATAAAAAAGGAAAACTAATGAAAATGACTTAAAAACTTTGAATTTTAACGATAAGGACAAAATAAAAGGTAAAATAAGTAGTAACTTTTAATGTAAAAATATAATTTTTAATTAAAATCAGCCGTACCATTGGTTTTTCATAAAAATTCTCGTTAAAAAAAAGTTTTTATTACTTATTGATCAACTAAAAGGGAAAAATAAGAAAGCGCTTACCGAAGTAGGAACACAGAGGAAGAATGGCGAGCTCGACCGGAGGTGGAAACAGCAGAGGGAATACAGCAAAAGCCTTGGTATCTGATCAGATATCTCAGGCCGTACAGTCCACTTCCAACCTCCTCCACCTCATGCAGCAATCATCTCCTTCCCAGGCATACCACTCCTACTCTCTCTTTATTTTCTATTTCTCAGTTTCTCTATCACAATATCTATGCGGCAGAGGATAGTAAGCTTCAGTGGGCAATGGTTTAATTAATTTATGGGTCTCCCTTTTAATTTTTTTTTTTCGAAAATTAAACCAATTTGGCTTACTGTGTTTTGGTTGGATTTTGGGAAGGGTGCTGATTTGGTCGGCTTACTGGGTCTCCCTTTTATTGTTACTTTTCTTCTGAACTTGGTTATGCCATATACTGGTGCTGATTTGATCGGGAAAAATAAGATTAGTCAAGCAAAAAAGGGGAAATATATTTGTAAAAATGAAATTTTGGAGGAGATTTTTTGTGGCCCAGCTGGTTTACCTCAAAGATTGTACAATTTTGGAGGCAGAAATGTTATGAAAAACTATGTGTAAGAAGGAAAGCGGTCATTGACATGTATCTGGACACAAAAAACTAGAAATTGCTACAAAATAATGCCCAAATTATCAGATACGCCCTTCCTACTGAAGGATTGTGAAACCGATACAAATAGTTGGCCAATCTGTAAAATAGTGAAATGGTTAGTTAGAATGTGCAGAAAATGCAAGAGTTTCCGGAGGCCGGTTATTAATGATAGATTTTTGTGGAACAGGGCAGGAATGGGGTACATCCCAGAGAAAATTATCAGATGCGCCCTTCCTCATGAAAGATTGTGAAACTGATACGAATATTTGATGGATCAATAAAAGAATGAAATGCTTATTTACAATGTGCTTTTCCAGAGTCCGGTTCATTAGGATAGATTTTGGTGAAACAGGACAGGGATGGGTACATAAAAGTAGGTTTTTAAGAATGTAATCTGAATTTTCTTGCTTTTGAAGATGAGTGTTAATGTTTTGTTTTGTGGTGAGGGGTAGGGCCTTAAAAATGAACACATTGGGGTGGAAGATGGGAGTGGAGGTGCACTGTTAATTGATTTGTGCTTTTGGCATGGTTCATATTTCACAGTTTTTGTAATTTTTGAATTATCCTTGGCTATCAACTTATCAACAACAACAACAAAGCCTTTTCCCACTACGTGGGGTCGGCTGTATGAATCCTAGAATGCCATTGCGCTCGGTTGGCTATCAACTTATCAATGAGATTAATCTCGTGAAGGGTTTCTCCTTCCATGTTCCCAAACATGAAATGTAACTATAACCATACATCATGATGCAATGAGAAGTAGTCATTCTCATCCTTAATTTTCATCTTATCATCTGGATACAGTAGTTACTTTGAACAATACTGGAAAAGGCTTACTACCATGCAGTATGTGGTGATAGCCATGGTACGTCTTTGCCTTATTGGCCTACTGCACATGGTTATATTTCTGATTTCTTATATTCTGCAGGCCCAACTGATAAAGCTTCCAAAGAACCTTTTGGTCAAAACATCTACAATTAAGAATACTGGACAGGTAATTTGATTACTTTCACCAAGATGATACTGACGGTAAAGTCTAAACATTCAAGGTAAATTTCATTTTCCTCTCCTTTGTATGCAGTTGTTGGGGCAGATGCCTCGAGTGATTTCATCCCTCGATGCATATATGGAAAACGGGTTACAAAGGTTGTGCACTAAAACTCATGTAGGCTTTATTTTGGAAAACCTTTTATAGCATGCAGTTATATACACCAAACCCTTGCCTCAAGCATCTCCTGTTTCATCAGAAAGAGAAATATATATAGCTAACAGTTCTGAATCTTGTGTCGTGTCATCAAATGTTTTTGTTGGTATATCTCCTCTTAAGAAATAAGGAAATACCAAACCAAATTTTGGACATGCATCAATGTGACTTTGGAAGATGAATGGTTGTGCGCATCCTGTTTGTCTGTTGAGACTATTTATAATCCACTTGGTCATACGGCAATATGACTTCGCAAGATGGTGGGCTTTGACACCAAAATCTTGATAACTGATTTGATAAATGAGCTGCACTTTTTGAAATTTTTTTCATCCCAGTGGCTGCAATTGAAATGATGGAATGCAACATATTGCATTTTATGGGTAGTGATTGTATACCAAAACCATAACTTTAACAGTGTTGTTTTGAAGTGTTCCCCATATCTTTCTACTAGTAACAATGTGCATGGCATCTCCGTTCTTGCACCCTTTGCCTGATGTGTTTGTAATTTTTGCAGTGTTCCTCATCTGCAAACTGTAATCCAGTTACTTGAAAACATGGAAAGCTGTCAACTTAGTTCTCTATCTCAAGCTCATGTCCTTCAAGAGGTTAAAATCTCCCCTTCTCTCTTTGCGTTAATACCTTTTTCGTTTTGGTTTGAGTGAAGCATAATAATTTTTTTCAAGGTTAGCAAATATTTTCTACCGAAATTTGTTCCATAAAATCCGTCAGTATTTAGTTTAGTCTATTCATTGCATAAGAACTGGATGCCATGTCCTTTTTTCAACCTCCATACTATTCTCCTCCCAGGAGCATGAGGTGGAAAACGCAAAAGTGGGCTAACATTCCCAACTGTGTACCAATGTTGCTGTACATTGGCTAACATTGGAAAGAAACATTTGGAGTTCTTGTTCAGAATAGTCAGAGTAAATTATATGTGATCTCAATGTACGTAAACATGCAATAGGATTGTGGCAGTAGATTCAACATGAAGTAATTTTCTTCCTTTTTATTAACATAAAGTGGAAAGAAACCACTTTGCTTGAGCAAATGTGATCTGTTACTCTTGAATCTTTTGAATTTCAATTTTATTCCTGCATAAGATGTTCAATAGATATTAGTTTCGTAGTTAGTTGCTCATCCGTCTAGTTAACCCCGTTATAATCCTATATCCGACAAGTCTAGGATGCCAAACTGCTGCGCACCTTCAAAGAAACTGATTTATACTTTCAGGGTCCCTAGCTTGTTCCTATTCCTTTATCCTGGTTTTTGGTGCTTCTGTCCTGTAAGTACTTTGTGAGGCGCGTAATGTGCATTATAATGTCATGTGTAGAAGCATCCCTATATACCATAACTGGAATCACATTCCCTGTGCCTTTCACTTCTTTCTATCTGATTTAAATGACCAAGATTGGTTTACCAACTTAATCGTAGTAATGGTGCTCCTGACCGGACTAAGAACACTAAGGCGGCAATGGCTGAAAAGACGATCTCTACTATTATAAAGTCAGACTGTCCCTAGTTAAATTCACTAAGGTCCTCCAAAATTATGTTTTACCGAAAATACAACCGCTTTTAACTTCACTAATTGACTTTGTCAATTTGATGCCTGATGCAATGTTTTAGTTTCTGTTTTGTTTGGAATGCTTGGATTTTGGTTAAAGAATATCAATGAGTGTCCTTAGTTTCATAGTTATATTTCTTCATGTCCATCCATACAATAACAACCAAGCCTTATTCCACTCAGATGAGTCGGCTGTATAAATCTTAGAACGTCACTATGCTCTGCTTTGGGCCAAATCTTCTGTTAGTTCCAAGTACGCCATATCTTTTCTTATAGTCTCTTTTAGTCTTCCTAGGTCTTTCTCCGTCCCCCTCCTTCTCCCTCCATCTTATAGTCGCATCTTCTAACTGCAGCACCTGTAAGTTTTCGGTTCACGTGTCTGCATCTGTAAGTCTTCGGTTCACATGTCCAAACCATTTTAATCGATTTTTTCTCATCTTATAATTCTACCTGTGTAAGTTTATATTCCGATGCCGGTCCCAGGATATAGGAGGAGAGGAAATGTGTTTGGTAGTCGACATCGAATCCTTATGATATGAATCCTTCATGTCCTTCCATATTCTTCAATAATTGCATTGGTGCATTGACAAGGTTTTAGTGTTAGATTCTGTCTAACCAATTTATTTACATTAAATGTCTATTTCCATGACTCAATGATGAAAATAGATACAAAAAAGGGGTCAAAATTTCATTGTAGTCGACAACTACGTATGACTAAGACCTGCAAGCTCAACTTGATTCCGAACAGCTTCGCACTCCCGAGTCCCGTGATCTCTCCCTTTCCAATGTCGGAACATGTTTCACGTCCGAATCCTCCCTCTCCCGTTAATCCGAAAACAAAATACTTGCAGAGATTGGAATTTAAGTGCAGAACATATATTCAGAACAAACTCACAACAGTCATCAGTTTTATTGTACTTATCAATTGAAATTTTAGTTTTGTGATTGTATCCGCTCGTGTTCGTATTCCCCTTTTCATGGTTGGAAAAAAAATTGTTACTGCTTATTAGTTTTGGCTTAAAGCCGTTTAACATATCGTACGTAAAGCGTACAAACAACCTTCACTCATTGACCTGAGATTGAGCCACTGTAGTATCAAAGGATTTCTTCCTGACCAAAAGGCAAGTGATCTTCGAAGTCTGGCCGTGAGAGTTGTCGATTGTGCACAGAACAAGGTCGGGCCGGTGAAGCATGAGATTCAAGTGATCCTTTCCGATTACCAGTGCAGTTGCATCAAGAAGAACATGCCATGAGTTCCGGTGTGCTTCCGAAACCCAATGTAGCGAGTGATGAACCCCGTTTACGTAAGCTGGATAGGAGAACAACCCTTTGAGCTTGTGTTTACTTTTCTTCCTGAAATACTGGCTTAGTTGTGAACCTTTGATCCTCAAATCTAACCAAGTCTCTGGTGCCAAAATCACTTTGGCTTCCTTGTAACCAGCAAAATCCTTAATGCAGTCTTGTTCGCCGATAATGGTCATGTAGTGGTTTCCGCGATAGAATGGGTAGCTCTCCGCCACCAATACCATGGCGTCCCTGTAGGTTGGGGTGAAGAGAACAAGGTACTCATCATCGGTCAATCCGCAGTGCTTCAAGACCTTGTTTCGAGCTTGTATCTCGGGGATTGAGATGAAACTTCCTGGGAAGGAGCATTTCGTGGTGAGGATATCAAGCAACCTTGATGGCTCCAGCTGAGTCCTGTCCAAGTCGGGAAGGTTGCTTCCGGCGAATTGTGTCGAGGACTCCCTCGGTGACTTCAAGCTACCCCCTGGTGACTTCCTCTTGTCATCGGGCATGGTCTCGGCAGATTCTTCGATGACGCAAATACTGGAGAGATCAAACTGTTCTCCTTCAACAAGGCCAGCATATTGTGGGTACTTTGCTAACACGTACTGTTCGACATATTCCCTTTCTGTTGGTGTAATAGGGCCTGACCATCTGAGCTCTAGACCATCACCGTGGAGGGTTGATATGGCCTCGGCTACAATGTGTGCAGGAATCATATTATGTGCTTTCTGTTGCAAGTTTAACCAAACAAATCCAATCAGATACATATTTCCTTTAGACATCTCAAATCAAACATATACAAGAATATACTGTCATTCTTTAGTGCGATTAACTGCACTTTTAAATTAAGTCAACCATATCGCTCGTATAGCGGCAACTATAAAGTCAATGTATCGACAATATATCCGCATTTTAAAACCCTTTAGTTAACCGTACTATAGAAAAATTCGAAAAGATGTGCTTTGTGAGAGTTCAATGTTTGTGTACCTTAATAACCATACTTCTTGGTCTGCCTTCATCTATGTGTGGTTTGTGTATAGAAGCAAAAAGGGATTTCTTGCATTGACCTTCTCCTTCCATCATGGCCTACATTTGTTTTGTTGTCATATTGCCATTAAAATTGTTAAAAACTTTAAAATACATACATATTTAACACTTAATTAAGAAGATGATCTTGATTATCAATATTTACCCCAGAGCCTGCATGTGAAACAATTTTACCAGTGTTCCTCCCCATGCTATATGAATCAATTTTCACCACTGCTCATTAGACCCAGAAGACATCGAAGTTTTGAAATAAGAAGACAATATTAGGAGCACAAAGTTTTGTATGAAAAAACGAACTTGGCTACAATACATTCATGTACTTGGTACAAACACCGATTAATGATCAAAACACCACAAAATCTCTATTGACAGAAAGATTTAAGAAATGAAAGAATCTACGGCAAGGACAATACAAGAAAGAAGATCAAGGTATTCATTGGGTACTAAGAAACTAGGACAAATTAACCCACTAAGAAATGGACAAGCAGAACTCACTGAAAATTAATTAGATGAAAAATAATGAATGAATCCCTAAACTGTCTCCATTTCAATGGTTCAGATCACCTTAAAATTCACTTAAAATAGAAAATTAATTTTACCAATGATTTAATTCATACAAGTCCAAGTATGATACCATGATCAAAAACACCAAAAACAATGAAGCATGTTACCCTTAACTTCCAATTCAACAGTGCAAATCTAGATTTGAAAAAGCGCCAAAGCTAGTGTTTTTCAAACTCTTAGAGCCTGTTTGGTACTCTACTTGAATTCAACTTTTTAAACTCAAAAACAATTTTTTAAGTTTTCAGCCTTAAAAACTTGTTTTGTATGACTATTTTAAAAAATTGAACTCAAGACTAACTCAAAAATATAGTTTATTATCTAAAAACATAAAAAGTGAGTTTTTAAAGTTTTTAAACTTAAACTCACTCTTTTCTTTTCTCTCCCTCCTCCCCTCTCACTCCATATCTATCTCTGTTTCTTTTCTTCTTTCTCTCTCCTCTTTTTTTTTTTTTTTACCTTTCTCGTCTCTCCTCCAATCCGTTCTCTTTATTCTTTCGGTTCTTTCTGTCACTTCTCTTCCTCTCTATCTCATCCCATCCTCTCTCTTATTTCTCCTTCCTTCAATCATCTCTTACTTTCTTTCCTCCTCCCTCCTCTTTCCCTCTCCTGAGACCCCTCTTTTTAGATCTCTTTGTTTAGTTTAAGTCGTAAAATTTAAAAATTTTAAATTGCAAACCAATCAAGTTTTTGAGTCTAAAAAAAATTGTTTTCAAGAAATGTTTTGAGAAGGGATAAAAAAATTCAAATACCAAACAAACCCTTAATTAGTTTCTCGTTCCGCACTCATCTCTTTGTTTTTGTCCCTCAATTTTTTATTCAATCGCAAGAATAAAAACTGGAGATGCGCATAAGGAGAAAGAAAGAAGTCCAAGCCGAAAGCACACAAAATCCAGATGGCAAAAGTCTTAATTCATACGTTTTTATCAGTTAAATGAACCACTAAAACCCACAAACCCTAAATAGAAAAAAGTCTTAATCCACAACAGAAAACACAGATATAGTAAAGAGGTGTTAGTTCATACCTTTATGCTAGGTTGAAAACCCTTCTCTTAAACCTACAGAATTGGAGCAAGCTGAGCTCTATGGGTTTGGGGGATTAGAGAGGTTGAAAAGTGAGCTTATACATTTTAACCACTCTTCTGATGATTCTTCTGACCAAACCACACCACCTGTTGCTCATTGCTCAACATTCTCTGACATTCTCTTGCTCAAAAGGGTACGACCCAAAACTGTATCTACTAATTCCAGAAATAACCGAAATACAATCTCCTTAAATATAATTTTTCTCTCAGTATCTATTGTAATTGTAAACAAATTGTCAAAAGACAGAGAGATATACGCACAGATGCCGTATGGAGATGCCGTGTTTAAGAGATTACAAATGGACAAACTCAAAACTTAATTAGTCTTAATAATTATTTTATTATGCAAATTGAGATTAAAATAACAAATACATGTATATATGCCTTTCATCTCTGTGTCCGTGGTGCTGCCTGATTGGAAGAATGCAGTGGGAAATTGTATAGAAAAAGATGAGCTGCCGTACACCGACCTATATTTCAGTTTCAGAATGCATTTTTTTAGGGTTTGTTACAATCTGCACATAACGTCTCTGCCTCTAAAGTAATTAGAATAATGAGTTATTAAGAGTTTAAAACAATATTTCTATTTATTTAATTATTTCGCAATGGTTGAAGTTTACGATATGAAGCTTCCGTGAAGGTCTTTGTTGAAAGGGACTAGAGACTAGACAGAGCCTTCACTGGTTTGGTGAGAAATTTCAGCACAGAGAAAGGTGATGGGTCAAATCTTAGTTGTTGGTATGAAGGTTTCAAGAAATTGAAAAATAGAAATTGATGTCAAACGGTCCACAAAATAAGGGAAAAAATGATTTTCTCTTTGGGTTACTATTCATGTGATCACGTGTGTGTAGTACGATTTGGCAACTTAAACAACATCTTGGGGAGTAAACCCTAGATGTAGTAGCTGGTTATTAAGTTTCCTTCTTACGAATCTAGAATAATAGAAAACGGAGAAGTGATCAGTTAGTTCTCCGGATAGCCAAAAGTGAAGCGTAGACCTCATCATGCCATGCTTTAACGTGTTTGAAACGTGTGAAATGACTTGGAAATAAAAAATTAATGTTCACAGAGTACCCATCCTTAGTCATTCATTGGGAAATACTGCGTGTTGAACACGAGCTATATTATTCATCCGAAAGCATGGATTCCCATAACTTAATCCACATTTGGCACCCAATTTCAACACGGTTGTGTTGACCCTAAAAACTAACAAACATATGTGGCGCACAGGCTGAGTAATTAATAAGATAACTACGTCCTTCGGTTGTATGCAGGGTGTGCCAACTCGTCGGCCAAGCTCGGCCGGGGAGTAAAATGTGTTGATGTGGCGCTGGGCGCGTTGCTGACTTCTTGATATTGCGACTGAGACCGAGGAAGGAACACGTCTCAACCTTCGGGTTCAAAAGCCTGAAGATAAGGTTGCTAATTCTGCGAAGTTCACAAATCATCGGCGCCAAGTTTGGTCTCGGTAATTATATTCGTGAGAGTATAAGTACACAATGGCGGATCCAGGATTTTAAACTCGGGGGGTCCCAATAATAAAGGTCAAAAAAATTTTAAATAAAAATAACATTGAAAAGTTAAGTACAATACATTTCATTCAAAAATCATGTGCAAAACAACATTACAAGCTATAAAATCCTAATTCAAACGTCCACAACGAGGTTTCATAGTCTAAAAATGTTCCATGATAGCTTCATTACCAATACATGAAAAAACATCTTTCTCAACGTAAACAACTAAGCTATCACTCAACCATTGATCTCCCATTTTATTGCAAAGTGGACCCTTAATGATATTCATAGTGGAAAATGCCCTCTCCACTGAAACAGTTGCAACCAGTAAAACCAAAGCCAACTGAACAAGCAAATATACATATGCAAATGTTTGATGCAACCTTTTCTCCACCATTTTCTTAGCAAGCTCATTAATCCCCCGCAATTGAGAAAGATCATTATCAGAACGCACAAAATGAATGTAAATATCAAGTTGATCTTGAAGTGCCGATCTATCTCAATCTGTGAAATCTTTAGGATACATTTGAGCAAGGCGAACAAGCTTCTCTTTATCAAAAGCTACAAATGAATCATTCGGACTCAAACATGTCAAGCAAATAAGCAATTCGGTATTACCTTCAGCGAAGCAATCATCTAATTCTGTAAGTTGGAAATCAATGATCTCAAAAAAAAGCTTCACTTTGTAATGATGACGTCTTTCTTGGAGTAATGTAATTATAATATGAGATTAGGTGGGATTAGAAATTTAGGGTTTTGGGTGAATATAAGAAAGATGGGGATTAGGGGGAAAAGCAGAGGAACGAAACGGGGGAAAGGAAAGGGACTCTTGGGAAAGATGGCCCATGTGGGGCTAGCCATATGGAATCAGGGACAATTGACAAACGGCACCGTTTGTCTCATTAGTTTTTAACAAAAAAAAAATTAAACAAATTGGCCAAAACACTGCGTTTTGGACCAACTTTTTAAAAAAACCATGTTTTCTTTCTTTTCCCCTGCAGCCCCGCTGTCTTCTTCTCCGTTGCAAGCTGCAACCTGCAGCACAGACCTCATGTTCTCGTCAAGGGGTCTCCCAGAAAATTTCTAGCAGCATTTTAGGATCGCCGAGGGGTCCTAGGACCTCCCAGGTTCCTCTGTGGATCCGCCTCTATAAGTACATTGAACTGGTACCAGACTATATGGACACTAGTACTCAAAGGAGATAAATGTCTTGATGGTAAATGCGGTTCAGCCGTCGGAACTCTAAAATGTCCTTGCGAATATCCAATCATAAAATAAAACTCGGCTTTCAATGTGCCAAGCCTACTAACCTAGTAACACCTCACTTCACTGAAAAGGCTGATGAGATGACCTCTTCCAACAAGGACTCAAAAATCCTTGTCGATCGAGACTTGGATATTATCCAGTCGGCCTTGAAGCAGTGATGTCTATCCAAACTAAAGGTGCTCCTCGATCAGCTGATTCTACGGCTCAAGTGTTGTATATCCAAACTGAAGATGTGTTGATGAGAAGAAAGAGGAAGGGGATAAAATCTCAAAGGTTGTTGAGAAGCTTTGCGCAGGGCAATTTTTGTGTCAATTTTGAGGGGCTTGAATGATGCACTCCCTTCTTTATTTATAGCAGCGCACCCCCTTCATGGCCGAACTAGAACTGCACTCGGATTAGAACTCCTCAACCCAATCTGATTAGGTTTCGGCGAATGCTAACCCCAATAGGACTTTGAACCAAGCTCCTTAATAATCCAGGTTCATCTCCTAATTTTAAGCATCTTTAGCTTTAAACTCCTTGTTGCACTAGGGTTCGACAACCTCACCCTTATCTAAACCAAACCTCCTCGCAATAGGATTCGGTTGACCTTGACTGGACGACCCATGACAAGATTCTAGATGAATGTTACTGGCCAAGGACGATTATAAGCTCGGCCCAAAATATTATTTTGGACCCAAACAGGTTGATGTAAATAATTTTAGCCGTTCAAGTTTAATTAGACGACTTCAACTTAAGAAAGAAAATGACATAGCAGAAGTTACAGATGAAAGGGATTACAAGTAGTGGAAGCCTTTAAAGGAATGGATCCCAATTTTTCAAAAAAAATAGGGACATCCTCTTAACCGTTAGATTTGGCTTTAATGAAATCATGTGGTTGAGATTTTGTGGCCTGTGATTTAATTTCAGCCACATTATTTCATTAAAGTTAAATCTAATGGTCAAGAGGGTGTCCTCATTTTTTTTTTGAAAAAATGAGGATCCCTTCCCTTAAAGGGCCTGTACAAGTCGTCACTCTTAATAAGTTTCTAGAACACTAGAGAATTAAGAAAAGCACTCGAATTTTGATAAATAATATAATAAGATAAGTACAATACAACCCTAAAGTTGTTTATATAGTCTTAGGAAAAACCCTAGATGCAAAAGGAAACAAACGGGAAAATTACAAAATTCCGGACCTTCAAACTTAAAAGCCGTTTCTAACTGTTTAAACGTTGTAAGATACTAAAATCCATCTTTTGCCGTGTCGAAGCTGCAAGTTGCATCCGTCTATTCAATCTCTTTCCGGAAATGTATCACGAATCTAAATCGGAGACAGAAAACCTAAGAACAGTATTCACTGCAGCAGCTACTAGCCCGAACTCGCAGGTCGAATCAGCCGTTCCAGCCCATCGTCAGAAAACAGTATAAAGAACTGTATGCAGATCCTGTCCACAGGTCGTAGTTTAATATAGTAATATACAAAGATGCAAACATCAAATGAATAAACAAAACAAAGTTGTCCCCAGGAAGGCGACACGAGAGTTGGATATTTTTTTTTTCATATTTTTAAGACCCTCCTCCATCCATGGCTCCATCAACCTAATATTGATTATTTACGTACAGTAAATGTTGTTGGCAAGATAAACAAAAAGATAATATTTCATGAATAACCATGATTAGGCAACAGCTCGTCGCTCTTATCTTATTAACTAAACAATAGTCTCCTGCAGAATAGCAACACAAGCATACAACAGCTGCTGCTGGTTTGAGTAAGATCCGTACAGACTTAACACAGTTGGCTCTTCTCGTAATTGTCAGTTTAATTAGTTTTTATTAGATAGGATATACAGAAGCATTTTAGGATATACAGAAGCATTTTAATTTTTTTTTTAAACGATATTATCTACACTAAGAGGTGGGAGAGTGGACAAAGCCTTACAATGGGCTAGCAGTACTGTTGTTCAAATTCGCTTTTGCCAAGAATCGAATGTAAGACCTCTCTTATATGTGGAAAGGAATATCACTAAACCGTAGTATTAAGTAAAGCATTTTAATATTTAAAGTTTAAATATTAACCAAACTCATGTTAATACTACTCTTTCTTTTAAAATTTAGGTTGCAGATAATTAGATTTGTTGTGCGTTCAAGCAGGAGTTAGTTAATGTAAGACAGCAAGTCTCGCAAGGACCGAACATATCAACATAATTTTCATTTTCTAATTTAGATATGGAAGTGGTAGTGAAACAATAACCTAAATCTACTTGTTGGGAGCTTGGACCCCTCTCCGGGCTCTCCCCCTTCTTCTGGCTGCCTTCTCTTTGTAAGCCAATTTTTAGACAACCCTTTGTGGGATGTGGCCTTTGCTTGACCATCCTTCATTTGAGAGACCATCCTTCATTTGAGAGATTGTGCTCCCTTCCAAGTCTACCTCAAGAAGACTTCTTTGTGTAGTGCTAAGCCATGGTGATATAGCCTCATCCAAGCCACTAAATAAATATCTCACGTCTTAGTATAAATAACTCTCCATCTAATGGTGATGGAGCCATGAGTCAACAGATCCTCCATCTAACGGTGACCTAGTCTATAGTCAACAAGTCTTTCCTCATTCGTGATGCTCACAAGGATGCTCCTTGATTTAGGGATTTTCATGTGCAAAGCGATGGCAACAACAATATCTTTCTTGGATCCAATTGTAAGTTTTCAAAAATGATAAATGTATCTAAACTGCTTAATACTCATTAGTTTGAAAAA